CATGTAAATTGGTAAACACAATACCCAGGGTCATTGCCCTCCTTACACTTAAGACGAATTAGAGGACAATGTTCAAGCAGCATATGCCAGGCTGAGGTTCCATTCTCTCCCTTTCACCATTGTCGTTCATGAACGTCCACTAATATTCCTTTTAAGTAACTGGATTTTCTTCACATTTTGGATCACACCAATCACACACTAGTCACTTTTTAATAAGCTCATTTTCAATACTAACATTCCAAAGATAAAACTCTCTATGAAGTTGTAGGAAAAGGCCCTACAGAACATCAGGTAACTCTGCCTTGCATTTCCAACTGCCAAGGAAGATACCAGCCCTACTATAATGAATATGTACATTTAGAGAATAAATCAGAATAAAAATGCTGACAATATAGAGGGGTGAGTAATCACTATAATTAACCCTTTCTGAAAGAAAAGGTACATAACAGTACATAATACGTAACGATTTAACTCAAGTCTTTTATTTATTTTTTTTAACTGCTTAAAGCATAAAGCAGAGACAATACATTGGATTAACATGCAACTTAAAAAGAAAGGTATATACATATCAAACATGGAAATTTACCACTAAAATTTCATCATTTCCTCCCTTTAATTACTTTGATAGTACCCCTGCATTTTGTAACCAAAAAGGTTGTATTACTGATCATTTGGCCAATGCCCTGAATTTCTGGAACTTGAAAGTCAATTATGGAAACAAGAAGTTACAAATATGCCAAGTGGTTCATCTGTAAAACTGCTGCTGTACCAGTGGAGAAGGGTGACCCCTCTAATCTGCCCACTCTACCCATGACTCAGACCAAACATAATACGCCCAGCCATCCATGAAGCTGTCTCACCAAGGCCATGAAGCATTGTTATCCAAGACAGCTAACACAGCAGCACTGAGGAATACAAAAGCACCATGCTCCCAATATCCTCCCTAACTGGAATTTCCTCAATGTAAAATCTCCCTAGCATACAGAGAAACACAAGGTCATACAGAGATAAGACACAATTTCGACCTCTTCTTGCATGCAAAGCTTGAGTGAAAATCTTTTACAAAATTGGCAATTCCAATAAAACAAACCTAAAATGTTTCAAAAGGATTTCTAATTTGGATATTATATGCCTAGAGTTCAATTTGGTTTTGTTGGTTTAGGTGGGGTTTATACAGAGACTACTGGAATACATTTTTAATATAGGCTTCTCTAGGGGGGTATGATAAACAAGAAAGATTTAAAAATCAATATAATTAGCAAATATATTTCATGCGCAAATTAAAATTAATATGCATTCTTTTCCTCATCTCTAGTTACCTAAAGAGCCCCTAAAAGACATAGCTGCTTCCTCAATGCTGTACCATGGACATAACCTAAAAATTTTTAAAAGTGCTTTGCAGGTATCAACCCAACTCCTGGAACCACTAAGGGACACACAAAAGGAAAAGGCTACCCAATCTATGCAGACTAATTTCAGGCAAACACGAGAGGAATTCTGTATATTGTCAATGCAATAAGCTTGAAAAAAGGGAACAGTATGCATAACTGTAATTTAAGGTCATGTACACATTTCACTTTCCATGCAAGATGAAGTGTAACAGGAGCACAATATTGTAACTGTACATCATTGCACATAATTTGCCCTAGAATTCAATTACACTCTCTGGTCAGTTTTATTTTTAAAAAATGGGACAACACAAAAGAAACTTTAGTAAGATCTTATCAAATATTTTGGTGAATAAGTAGAATGTAAAGATGAATATTTGATGCATATTTATATATACATAAATGAAGCAGTCCAGGAGCTACATGGTAATGACATTAACAATTACTTACAGAGTATGAGAACTAAGAGGCTACTTTCATACAAGCAACAAACTCTTAGTAGGTTTTCTAAACATAATAAAATTTTCTAATTGTTTTTAAAAACAGAAAGTTAAATTTTCTAGTCTCTGCATTAACTAATGCAAGGGTCATGAAATAGTTTTATCAGAAAAGAGAAAAAAATAGTTCTATTTTAGCTTCTTTATACCATGATATGATGAGGGGTAGGTGGGTAGCTTCAATTTCAAGCATTTTTATTCAAAATAAACACAAATTTTATCTTAAGAAACTCTCAGGTCTGTGTCATCGGTATGATAAGCATTTCTAATACCATAAAAAAAACACAATTTATTAGCTGGGCTTAAAAATCAAGACAAATCAATTTCAGGCACTTCTTGAATACATACTATAAGAAATTTCTATTAAAAGTATACTTGTCAGATAAAACCATAAAAACCTTAACTTTCATTTTTAGAATATGCAAGAGTAGACAGTAACAATATTGCATAACCAATCCAAATGTAGTTACATTTCTTCACAATTTTATACTGTTTTAAGGTTAAGTAGAAGTAGTCACCTTATAAGCATCCAAAGGGCTGAATTCTCTATTTCTTTCCCTTCCCTTACTCGTACATTCTTTGAGGAAGTATGATAGTTTTATTTTTGCACATGTGGAGCTCTGAAAATTTATTTCCTATATTGTATCCACATCTAGTCAACACACGATGGCTGATTATTTGGGTGTCTCTTAAAGCCCACTTCACAGGTTTATTCTGTAAAACTAGGTTTCCTATTACTAATGTTCATCATTATTCTTTAAGTAAACCTGAGGAAAAAATGTGACGTGTAGACAATGACTCAATTCTACAAACAGATTTGGTTTGGCATCTTTTTCAATTTATACTGGCTGAACTGGTATTCTCCAAAACAGTTTTCGGTGTGATGTGAACATAATATATATTTAACATAATACCTTATGGTCCTAACTAGTAAGGATCTGACAGTCTAAATGTTTCTCTTATCTTTCTCAATTACTTTTCAACATAAAAGTTAAAATTAGGACACATTAAATTGTTAAATATAGTAATAATTTATAGAATTCTACTGACACTTGTATGCTACATACATCCTAAACTGTGCTCAGGACAAAGAAAATTATTATGATTGACAATGAACAAACATACAGGACAGCAAGGAATAGCTGAACTAGGGAAAACTGATCCTGAAGCAAGAAGTTTAGATTATATTTGGAGAATGGGAGGGGGTCCAAGTTAAGGGAATGATGCCAGGATATGACTGGGCTATTGAGAGTATGATGTTAAAATTGACAAATGATCTACGATGTACAACTATATTTTATATACAAAGTAGAGCAGATTGCCCACAGGTAACACTAGAAGGTTGTCTACAATGTTTCTATTTACATAGTATAAACAGATTTTGAGGTTGTCTGTACTGTATGTGGTTGCTGTAGTCACAGCAAGAAATGTAAAGTGCCACAAGAGAGGAGACAATAGTCTCATTTCTAGGCATCTTAATACTATTCACTCAGACAAAAGGAAATATCTCAGGGAGTTCACACTTTTCTCGTTCCTTGCACACCTCTGTGATTCACTGATAACTACCTACTAGGCACTTCTGAAAGGCCAGAAAACTAACTTTTCTTCCCTCTACTTCACACTACACTTATCTGAAACCACTTTGACCACCTGCATTAAAAATGCCAACTGTGCTAAATAAAGCACTTTTAATTTTAAGGCAGAAAGTCATATAAGAAAATGAATACCTACTCCCTAACCTCCAATCCATTTTCCTTCACTGTATACTTGCCTATTGTGATGGCCAAGATGTGCTAGGAATATAATGAAAATTGACATTTTTTGGGGGGTGGGGTGGGGGAGAGGAGTATCAGTCCTGGGACTTGGACTCAGGGCCTGGGTGCTGTCCCTGAGTTCTTCAGCTCAAGGTAGCACTCTACCACTTAAGCCACAGCTCCACTTTCGGCTCTTTTTATGATTAACTAGTCTCACAGACTTTCCTGCCTGGGTTAGCTTCGAACCTCAATCCTTAGATCTCAGAGCTAGGATTACAGGAATGAACCACCAGTGCCAGGCTAAAAACCTCAATATAATGTTAAAAAAATACTTTATAAATGCTATGATGACATAATTAACTATACTTAAATGCTTTACTAGATGGTCACTTTTATAAACATGTCAATAAAAGGTACATGACTTTCAAAACTAGTATCAAAACAGTTAAGCCTAGCCACATTTTCTTTTCAAAACTGAGCATAATGACTGTAAATGAGATGTTTAAAACAAAAACTGCATACTAAAAATTCCAAAGCACTGTTTAATTCTACTTAAATTACATGTGCATTTCAAATCTGTTCATTAGGCTCTGTCTTTAATACTGTTAACATTTTGATATTTTCAAATATAAATTTAAATTTTTTCCCATTTTAATTCTGGGTTTACATACAAGTTCTGCTTAGCTTGGAAGGAAGAAAATAAAAATCATGTTTTGTAAATGTGGTTTAAGTTTTTCATAATGTTGTAAAAATCAACTATACTAGTACAACTGTAAAAGCATAGTTCATGCTTTAAACACCCATTGAACTTCAGCCATCTTGATGACAAGGAAATGTGCTAGTATCATGTCTACTGGCATGACAACAATCCAATGAACTGAACATGATTATTAAAATTAAAAACCATAAAGGACAAAAGCTGAGTGTTTGGGGGCTACTTCAGAGTATTCGCCTCTAATGAAATAGCTAGGATTATAGCTATGAGTCACTGACACCCAGCTTAAAGAATTTCTAATACATCTTATAGTGATTTGAAAAAGTATGGAACCTATGAACAAAGTTTAGTAATTTAGGGTTTACTGTTAGAAATGATGTTGACAAATACTATGTAATCTGTTTGCATTATGAACATAACACAAATACAAAACACAAAACCTCCAATGTTAACATTGATCATGTCTGAATTGGATTTAGATATTAACTATTCCTTATCTTATAGAAAGAACTTTCAAAATTCTTTCAAGGCTTATGACTTAACCAAAATCTAAAGTTTAAAAGGATTGAGTTATTTTTTTTCCTGGAATATTCTTAAATTTGGATTAACTTTTGGATTAACATTTTCAGGACATGAAAAAAGTAAATAGATTATTCAAGTGTATGTTTTAATATAGGATAATTCTATTTCTAGTCATAACAGAAGTTCAACTTTCAGATTAAAAAAAGAAAAAAACGCTAAGCAAATATAAAAAGTGTTTGGGTTCAACTTATTTCCTAGTACAAATAACAAGTCAGTCAACTTTTCAATCAAATTCTTAAAATCATTCAAAAACATTCATATTTTACAGTTGTTAAACATTGCATTTGTATTACAGAAGATACAAGAAAACTTAAAGGAACAAAAAAGTCTCAAACTATCCCAACTACTAAAATAAGAAATTTGTGAAATAAGAAATGATCAATGTTGCTTGGCAGATGCCTTATACTCACAAATCCATTTTAACTGCTTGACATCTAGCTTAATAATAAAAAAAAGACTGCAGTTAAACTATTTAATAATATTTATAGAAGTCTACCTTTCTGGATAGACATGGATAGACAATAGCTTGTAATCAGGAAAAAAACTTGGTAGTTTTAATCACAATTATGACTGGCTAATTAAAAGTTCATTCTGTAATTCAGATGGTGTAAGAACGAACAAAAGGAATAACCTGGTAATTGCTTACTGTGCAATTCTGCCCATTAGTAACACTAAGCCAAGACTCTGACTGATATTCCTCTTGGTTGGATTACATGTTTCCATGTATTGTTGATCAACAAAAAGCAGGTACACAATATCAAGGGTTCTTGTTTTTTTTAAGAGCAGCTCAATGATTTGGGAAAGCTGGTTAGTACAATACAGAGAACACAGGGAAAAGTACAAAATGGCTCTGAATACCAAGGCCAGTACTTATCCAAGAATATTAATTTTTGTGTTATTTTCTTTTCTACAGAATATAAATCAAGACATTAACCTGAATTTGAGGTATACATACATACACAGCCCTAAACAAAATACTTTTCCTAAGTAGTATTACATTAAAAAAATTGGAAACAGCATCTGTGATTTGTATTTTAACACAATGGAACAAGAAGAGAGTAAAATCAACTAGGGAGTATTATACTGATAATAAATCTCTTAAAAGTTCAAAATGTCTTCCTCTCCCTTTGTACTTACCACAGGCTCTACAATGTCCTGAAAGGATTCATTGAGAAAAATGTCAATCACAGTTTAATAACATACTTTGGAAGGAAATAATGAGAAAGAAAATTAGAAGGTGAAACTTCATCTTTGTTTTCAAATAAGTGGTCTTAATTTTCTTCTTATAGAAAAAGTTTGAAAGTTTATTATAAATATATCTAAACCATTAATTTTTGCAGCTTTCAGGTAAAGTCCAGCACTTCATTTATACAAAGTTCATGAGAAGAGGACAGTAGAGATCATCTAATCTTGAGTCGTGACATCATCCACTCAAGTCCTTGGCATAATCTAGAAAGAAAACCAAATGTTATGATTAAAATCAGAACTAAAAATGCTACAGCCTACAAACTAAGACATTTTTCATTAACCTGAACAAGGACTTAAAAAAAAATCAGTAACATTCAATTCTGACACTATGACAGGGAAGCCACACTCTTTTTTTTGGTCGGTCATGGGGCTTGAACTCTGGGCTTGGGCACTGTCCCAGTGCTCTTCAGTCAAGGCGAGCACTCCACCACTTAAGCCACCGTGACACTTTCGGTTTTCTAGTGGTTTATTGGAGATAAGAGTCTCACCGACTTTCCTGCCCGGGCTGGCTTTGAGCTGCGATCCTCAGATCTCTGCCTCCTGAGTAGCTAGGATTATAGGCGTGAGCCACCAGCGCCCGGCTTTTTGAAGCCACACTTTTATACCCCGTACATCTACTTTTGGTTCTACTGTAGCTCTAATGCCAGGATGAAGAAAGCATTCAAGTGACAGAGCAGCTGCCTAACAAGCCAAGTCCCAGTACCACAAACACAAAACCTCAAATACACAAACACACTCAGCCTTAAATACTGCCTGACCCATACATGTCAAAAATATTAAAAATACCAACACTCTAACACTTTTGCTAATTCTAGAAATGTAACCTTAAAATAAAATCAGGTAACAAAATTTTCCTTTCAAAAAATACTTTAAGGGGCTGAGAAGGTGGCTCAGTGGTGGAGCGCTTGCCTTGCATGCATGAGGCCCTTGGTTCGATTCCTCAGCACCACATGAGCAGAAAAAAAAAAAAAGCTGGAAGTGGTGCTATGGCTCAAGTGGTAGAGCGCTAGCCTTGAGCTGAAGAGCTGAGGGACAGCGCCCAGGCGCAGAGTTCAGGCCCCACGACTGGACACACACACCAAAAAAATACTTTATTATAGTAGTGTTATTGAGTTTATACATACGTATTTTATACTTGGATATAAAAATTTGAAGGCAATAAAATATATTACTTAAACCAGTTACTGCTGAATGACAGGTAACTGAACTAAACCAAATACTAAAAAGAATGTTCATTATGATATAAACAGCAAGAAAACCCCACAAATGTTTAGCAAGAAGGTAATGGCTATAAACATATGTTACAACAAAATCAAGGGTTAACTACTATTAATGAATATCTAATATGAGCTTTTGTAGACATGAAAAGACCATGATAAAATTTATTTTTTAAATCTCAAATTTTTTGGAGTCAAGTAGAGTCAAATAATGTTATCATTAAAAGTCAGTGACAATGAGAGAAACAAATGTCTATTTGGAGTGGCTTTTGTTTTTCTCTTATTACTAATAGGGAATAGTTCGAAATAATAAAATTAAGAACTAGGTAATTTAACTCCAAACTGTTAAATGAGCAGCCCTTACCTAGAAAATGTACTAATCATTTAACAGCCATTACTTCAGTCTTCTTAATAGTAAGATCAAAATCTTTCCATGTTAGTGAAACCCAGGTTAGCAGTGGCAAATTAGGAGGAACAGTGAGGCCAGCCTCCAGAGTGTGTGCTCTTGAACCATCGGAGTCTAAATGCTGATCAAAATGAAAACCAAGTCTTCTACTTCACTAAGATTCAGTTTTGAGAACTCATTAATATTTGTTCACCTTTCATCATGGTGTAGAAAAGGTAAGAATTTCTCATTTACCCCATTTATTTCTGCCCTTTCAAAATACACCAAGAATTTCAGCCTAAAACTTAAAACTCTTTATAGAATCCTTGTCTCTAATTGTTTATTCTTGCTTTTAAATACATATAGATCTGTCATATTTTTCAAAAATAACAACAGAAACTTTGCTCTTCCATTTATTTTTCCCCTCCCCTTCCATACAGGAGCTTGAAATTTGGCCCTTCCACTCAAGGTGGCATTCTACCACTAGAAGCCACCCCTGTACTTCCACTTCCTTTTTTTGTTGGTTAATTCAAGACAAGAAACTCTCAACTTTGCCTGCTGGAACTGGCTTCCAACCACAATCCTCAGCTCTCAGTCTCCCCAATAGCTGAAATTACAGGTCTGAGCCACCAGTGCCCAGTTCCTTATAGCTTTTATCCAGATGAAATTTCCTTTGTTTAATCTCTCCCTTCTCTTCTTGTCATACTTAAAAGCATTTAGAGATGCTATCCTAAAATCCACTTCCCTTTTAAACTCACCATCCTGTGCCCACTTTCCCAATACATAAAATTTGTTCTGATTAACTGCTTCATTGAATTTACTCACTCTTTATTAAACTCAATAAACATTTAATTGAACTATCCATTACTTTTACTTTGAAATACTTTCACCTCTTGGCACTAGACTCAGGCAAAACCTTACTGTAGGTATACTTACCCGTTTTCCAACACCTCTCTCTAGAGCTAAGGATTCACATGCCATATAACTTTTCTTTCCCAGTGCTGGAGGCTGAACCCAGGGCCTTGCATTTGCTAGGCAAGCAGTCTACCCATGAACCAAACACACAGCAATGATTTCCTTCAGATAACAGTGATACAATAAACAGCGAGTATCACTATATTAGGTTTGAGTCTTTTCATCTTTTGGCTTTTTTATGCATAAAATAAGAGTAAGAACAATTATCCTGTAGGGTAGTCGTAAGGATTAACTAAGACATTGTATGGAAAGCACTCCAGAGATAGGACATGCTTAGCAATGGTTAATTCTTAAGTTCCATCAACACAACAGGCATTTCCTGACTTTTCAAACTCTCAAAGAGCTCCTTCAGAAACTGCATCATCTTTATATGTATTAGTTGGGATTTATGTGTATTATATTTATGCTGTGTCTTAGTATTTGCAGAATCATTCTAAAAGAAATCTCTGTAGACTTCAACTGTTACACAACTCCCCTCTAAATACTTAAGTGATTTTAAGAAATACATTTTTAGACTAAATACATGTTACCTAAGGGGAAGACTTCTTACCCCTCGCCGGTAAGAGCACAGCATGCCTGGATATGCCACTGGTGATCCTTAATGGAAGTTAGCTTCAAAAACTGGGAGATTTCTGCTACAGTCATGCATTCTTTAACATCTTGTTTATTAGCAAAAATCAGCAATCCAGCTTTTCGTAGGTCCTATGAAAGCAAACAAAACTTCTAATGAGAATATATTTTCCTACTTATTTTCCAATTTAACTAACAAATTTTCCATAATCATAGTAAACTAGAATCTATTTTTATTTTTTAAACTCTATTCTCAGCCACCAGCACCCCACCCAACTATGCCTGCTTATAATGTTGGTTTTTTTTTCCTCTTTCAGCAGTGTTGGGTTTCAAACTGAACTTAGAATCTTGTACTTGATCTCTATCTCCAGTCCTTTGTGCTTTAGTTTACTTTTCAAAAAGGTCTCACAATTATTTGCCAGCTGTTTTCAGAAAGCAATCATCTTACCTCCACTAGCAGACCCAGCCTCTGTTCAGAATTTCTTTAATTATTCTACCTAAACCAAGTCACAGCTCATAGGCTTGGAGAGGCCAACTTAAAATTGAACAAACTTTAAATATGTAAGTGTATGAACTTACAAATTTATCATTTTTATTGTACCTTGTATTTCATATATTCAAATACAAGATGTAAGCTTCATGGCCAATAAAAAGTAGCTCTTTATTATCTAGTTCTCAAAGGCTTGCCAAAACTCTACCCGACTTATACTCTTCTATTTTACTTTGCATTTTCTGACTTAACATTACTCATTATCTAATATTCTGCTTTATTTTATTGATTTTATGTACTTATTTATTTAGACAAGGTTTCACTAGGTAACCTAGTATGCTTTCAAACCCAATCCTCCTGAGCACTGGGACCACAGACATGTGCTACCTTGCTGGCTTAAATATGCTGCTTTAATTGATCATCTATCTACTGTTCTGAACCATTTTGAGCAGTCTTATCTCCACATTATTCAAATCATTTAACTGCATACATTGCCCACCCTCCAATCTCCTAAACCAGCTTTTAGCAACCAGGGTTCCGCAAAAGAACAAAGTTCTATAAAAAGTGATTACCATGGCTACACTGCATGTCTTCCAACAGTGGATATAGCTAATATCTTCTAAATGCACAGGCAATAAGTGAATTCATTACATATGTTTATCTTAAGAGTTTTAGTGCTTAATTCTCAGTTGAGAAACACTATCCTAATTCAACTGTACTCATCTTCAAACCTCAGAGGCCTTGCCATGAAGATTTCATAAATTTGAGTAACAGTCATCTTAGATGGGCAATAAACCTATCAAATTTCCCCAGTTAGATATTAAGTTCTAACACTTCTATGCTATGACTCTCAGAAAAGTTCTTTCAACTTTCTGAATTTGTTTTTTTATAATTTAACATTCATTGTAAACCTGATCTGAGCAAGATATCCACCACAGTTAACCCCTTTCCAAATATAGGAACTATACATATCACAAGATGACTGGTAGGTTTTATTCCTAGAATAGGCCAAAGGTTCCTAGTCTCTTTCTAGCCCACTGTGTTCACCCCAAAACTTTTTTTTAAAGCCGAAGACAAAACTTACTGGATAGCAAGTCAAAGTTACCACCCTTTTCCTGATAAAAATGCATGCAGGTAAATATTTTTTAAAGTTTATGTACAATTTTGAGAATAAGTACAAGAACTAAATTATATTTATTTTTCTTAGGCCACAAAACCATGAAGACTAGAACTGATAAATTAAAGTCCCATAAAATTTTACTTATATAGAGAGCAATATTGACAAAACTAATGTTCTGTTGTTGTGCTTGTAAATCTTCTCAACTGTGTTAAATGTTGTCTTTCTTCATTTTTATGCAGTGCTGAGGATTGAATCCAGGGTTTTGCTTAGAGATTGTGATCTTAATTGTATATATTTGTGTTTAAGAAAGAATCCAAGCAAGCACACCTATAATCTTTAACTACTCAGGAAGCTGAGAACTGAGGATTGAGGTTCAAAGGCAGCCCAACCAGACACAATTGAGACTTTTTTCTCCAGCAAAAAGCTGAAACCAGAGGCATAGCTCAAGCAACAGAGCCCCAGCATTGATAATAAAAGCCAATCAAGCGCTCTAAGCCCAGAGACCACTCCAATACCAGCACTAGCACAACCAAAAAAATCAGTGAGAACAAATTGATACTGTTCCATACATGATTCTTTGTTTGAATATGGTTTTGATGACTTTCTCAATCTTTTTATTAGAAAAATATATAAATTTCTTAGTTAAAATGATTATGTAAAACATTTTATAGGCCAAAAAAATTGACAATCCTTGTCCAACTATTTGAAGGCCTGACTTTTAGTTACAGTGCCCTCTTCAGGATGGCAGCTGTTAATGCTACACAGCTGACAGTTCTTGAATAACAGGTTCAGGAAGGAAAATTTCTAAATGTTAATCATTTTAATATTATGAGTTTCAACTATAATTCATTCATGTAGCTCTATAAAAGGCCAAAAATTTTGAAATTGATTATAACTTGCACTGAGTCATTATCAAGGACATTAACTATTTTTCTCTCTTATCCTAAATGGAAAATGGACCATCATTGGTAGTTGATATGTGACTGAGCCACTAAGTAAATGGATTTTCCATGGGATTGAATTCCTATCCTGTTAGGTTTCAACAACTCTTCCTAGTGCTGCTCAAGTCTTTTATAGGTCAGGCTTGCAAATGCTGGTATTATTTAAAGAACAAACCTCTAACACAAGTTAGCATATATACTATATGCTACTTTATTTATAAGTAATCAGCATTAATTTTGAAATTATTTGGAGAAATCCCTAAGCCAAAAATATGAAAACACAATAAAGCCATTTATTTAAGGGTCTCCAAAATAAAACTCTGAATTTAATTTTTTTTTACATTGAAAAGGTTCAAATTTTATTTAGTGATCTTGATTTAGCTTTAGTAAATCTATTTTACCTATTTTATGAAATCAGCAGAAAATATACTGGACTAAGACAATCCATCAAATTGACAGAGCAAGATGTCAATGTTTAAGGCAAACATGATCTTTTGTACATGAACCATTTTAAACACTTAAGTACTGAAGATATCTATTCTTAAAATGACACACTTTTTTACTCGAGATGAATAGCAAATTCAAGAGATATATACTAGCAACTTCTGTATGCCATTTATAGTTATAAGTTTGTTTCTCCAAGCCTCATATGTGAAGTTTTAGAAAAGTTGGATCATTTGACAAAAAGTTTAGATTTGGATGTTTAGAACTAATGTTTCTTTTAAATTCTGAAATAGCACCCCCATGAGAAATTGGGAAGAACAAATGTGATGCAAATTCTCATTTCCTTCCCCCAGTATCTAAGGTAAAAAGATGACTTACCTCATGGGCTAACATTTTATAGAGTTCTTCTCTAGTTACAGAAATCCTCTCTCTGTCTGTACTGTCCACAACAACTATTACAAACTAAAAAGATCACACACAAAAAGAGTGATTACATAATTTTGCATTTGAAAATCTGTAAAGGCTTCTAGTACCACAAGATTAAAATCCTTTTTTCTTATTTTTGTTTTGTTTACAGTTTTTTTGGAGACAGAATCTCAACAAAATAACCCAGGTTACTCTCAAACTCCAGAACCTCATGCTTCAGTCTTCTGAAGGCTAGAATTACAGGCATGAGTCTACATGCCTACCAAGACATTAGAATCTTATGGTATTACTTGAAAACCATTGATAGTTGCTACGGAGTATAAAGTCTAAAGGTTTCATCCATGTCTAAGTCAAATATATTTACTGACTTTTAAGGAAAATAAAATAACATGATGCTAACATTTTAATCAAAACAGAATACATTTGTTTTCTAAACTAGTCTTAAATACTAATGGACCTATAACCAGCTGTTTGCACTATAAAGAAAAAAATTACCGGCTGGGAAGGTGGCTCAGTGGTAGAGCGCATACATGAGGCCCTGGGTTCGATTCCTCAGCACCACATAAGCAAAAAAAGAAAAACGCCAGAAGTGGCACTGTGGCTCAGGTGGTAGAGCGCTAGCCTTGAGCTGAAGAGCTGAGGGACAGCGCCCAGGCCCAGAGTTCAGGCCCCACGACCGGACCCCCCCCCAAAAAAAAACCTTTAAAAGGGGGGTGTGGGGGGAGGATGGGATGGGAAGGGGAAACAAAGGAGGAGGCAACAATGCTTGATAAGAAATGTACTCATTATCTTGCCCATGTAATTGTAACCCCTCTATACAGTATTTTCACAATAAAAAAAAGAAAAAAGAATAAAAAGAAAAAAATTACCTTATCATAAGAAAAAAAAAGTTACAGTCCTAAGATTAAGTTACTTCCAGGCATATATTTCTTACTGATATCCATTTGAAAACTGAAAAGGACATGAATATAAGTAATGTGACAGTTAAATCAAATGGTTGCTTTTTTTTATAATAATGTCTATGTATATAATTTATTTTGAATCCATTAAAATGTTACAGACTGAAACCAAGCTGATGACTCCACTGAAATTTAAAAAAAGTAAATAATATATCTAACTACATAACAGCTCGTTATACTCCAAATCTGGACAGTATCTAAAACTGTTTTATGCAATTCGGTAAATACCAAGAGACATCCTTTCTACCAGAGCTAGTTTACATTCTTAAATTCTTCCTTGTGAAATCTTTTAAATTAAAAAACAAACTGTCTCTTGTGTAATTTAAATCTGTTTCCTGAAAGTAGAGCTCTTTCTTAACCCAAGGAAGAGACTGGTAGAAGACACAATGAAAGATCCTCAATTCTAAGAGCACTATAAAAAAAGAGGGAAACAGTGGTAAATTAATCTGTAATGCCTAAGTTAATGCCTATCATTAAGATCCTTCCTACTGGGCTGGGAATGTGGCTTAGTGGTAGCGTACTTGCCTAGCATGGGTTCGATTCCTCAGTACCACATAAACAGAAAAAGCTAGAAGTTAAGTGGTGCTGTGGCTCAAGTGGTAGAGTGCTAGCCTTGAGCAAAAGCAGCTCAGGACAGCACCCAAGCCCTGAGTTCAAGCCCCAGGCCTGGCAAGAAAAAAAATCCTTCCTCTTTCCTTCCCTTTTGTGCTGGTCCTGGAGCCTGAACCCTAGACCTATTTTTGATCTTTTCTGGTCAAGTCTAGAACTCTACCACCTTTGGCTTTTTTTTTGGGGGTGGGGGGGGTGGGGGGGGTAGTTAATTGGAGATAAGAGATAAGACTGTCCTGTCCCAGCTGACTTCAAATCGTGATCCTCAAGTCTCAACTTTCTGAGTAGTTAGGATTCCAAGTACAAGCTTCTGGCTCCCAGTTATTTACTTTTTAAAAGTTACTTAATTTGTTTCCAACAAATTACTGTTGGATTTCAATATCCAGAGGCAAGTGGATAAGAAAACAGCTAGTGTACTAAGTGGCTTTATTACTACATATGCATTCTGTTCCAAAGCATTTTAATACAGCTATTACTTTCCAAGGTATTGTATAATTTAGTATCTTCATCATTATATACATCTCTTCTTTTCCAAAAATTATAATTAAATTCTTAATGGTTATCAGACCGTTATATATCCTTGTTACTTAGTGATTTAAAGTGAGCCTTACACTTTTAGAGTATGATCAGCACTAAGAAACAATTGCTACAGCCCCTTCACTTTATAGGTATATAAATGAATACGCCTAAAACCCTCTCCTGGGAAGAAACATGTAAATACAAACATAAGATTGTGTCTAAAATGCTTTAGAACCAAAAGAAAAAATACTCTGTGTCGCATAAAAAATGCACAGTACAATTGGATAAGATTCAAAACCTTAAGAGTCTTCTCTCATTTAACTAAATTCCGCCCCCCCTTAGCAAATATAAGAAATAAAATTACAAACTGTGAGATGGAAGTCATTATGAAAACACAGTCTAAAACCAATGACACAATCAGACTAATCAACTAGTAATTTTCCTTCCAGAAATGCAATACTATAATACCAAATCAAATATTCTACTATGCTTAAACTCAATATATCAAAATACTTATATTTTTGAAAGATTAAAAGTTTCAAATCTAAAGATTTACAGAATACTGTTCATAGAAGATTTAGCATATTAAGAAACATTACCTCTGTGTTAGTATAGTAAGTATTCCAGGAAGAACGAAGAGATTCTTGGCCACCAATATCCCACATTAAGAAACGTGTATTATTGATCACTATCTCTTCTACATTACTTCCTATTGTAGGTGATGTATGTACAACTTCGTTCATAGAACTGGAAAAAAATCATATATATATATTATAATCTGTAAGGGAGCTAGCTTGTTTAAGCATTTTTAGCTGAGAAACAAAGCAACCTGACTTTTTATATTTTTAGCAAATTATCCCTTTCCCACTAACTCATATCATGAGCAAATTAAGACTTAAAAGAACTGGAACTGGAATTGAGTAATAATCTAGATCATTCCAGAAAAGTCAATAAACAAATATTTTTCACCTCTCCCAAAGCAAAAAAGCATTAGTACAAAACAACTGAACAACATGCTCAATATCATAAATGTCTAGTTGTTTCTATAAAGATTTAGTTAAATTTGGCTTCTGGTTTATGGTCAACTTGCTTTCGTACAGAGAAACTTCCACATAAATTGTTTTGCTTTCATTTATCAAATATCACCTGGCAGAAAAAGTAACTGAAAACAACTAATTTTTAAGGTAGTTAATACTTACAATTGGTAAAGAATGGTTGTTTTCCCTGCATTATCCAACCCAACAATGATAACTTTGTGCTCTGAAATATAAAAAACAAATTTAATTAAAGAAAATACCTTAAAGAAACATAGACACACCCAAAAGATTTGTCTTTGCCCCATCTTAGTACAGTAAATTCACTTTATGGCATATCTTACCGTCTTAGAACTAAAGAATACCAGCAGAATTGTGCTATTATGCTCATTTCCCTTGTTCTCCTCATTCTACACAGAGACCTCTTCTCTTTCCAGCAACCTCTGGAGGCAGCCAGAAGCACTATATTCTTTCTACCAGACTGTCAGGAGACTGGAAGAAAATTGAAGAGACTATGATGCCACACAAGTCAAAGAGGAATCATTGCTACCATAGCTACAGATCCTTAGATCTGTCATGTTACCATGGTTCGACGGTTTAAATGTACGAATGATAGTTACACACTACAAAGAGCATTGTTTTTCTTTCCTATTCATCGATCTCACATATATACACTTGATACCTAAAGTTCGAGTCAGAAATTCACTTATTTGTAGACAGTTACGATTATACTGGTTATACTACACTACGAGTAGACCTGACTATTACTTTGTTTTTAACTGCCTTCTCTTCGTGTTCTCCAGGATTTACCTACTTCATATGTCACTATGGCACCTTGGTATTCATCTATTTCCAGAGTGTAAAATCATATCCTAAAGACAGCAGTGTGTGGAGGAAGCTAGTCTCCAAAGACAATTCTTACATAGTCATGGTCTTGGATATACCCTCCTCTTGATGCTGAGCTGATGCCAACACTCACTTTTAACTCACAGAAAGTAGCAAGAAGTAATGATGTTTTATTTCTGAGCCTAAATGATAAAGAAATCACATATTTGCCACCTGGTGGTTTTAGACAATTCCCACCGAGGGTGAACAGACATTATAAAGTCCAAGATTCTGTGCAGTCAAGTGAGGAAAGCTAGGATGGTTAGATTTTATGGTAAGAAAAAATTGGCTGGCCTCTCAAAAGCCAGCCTCCCCAGTTTTAGCCATTCCAGCTGACACGCTAGACCCAAGAATAAAGAAACTATCTAGCACATGCAGCATGCTTGAAGCTTTAGATGCCTCTATAGTTCCAGCCGCCATCTGACTGTAATGAAAATTAAGTTCCCAAGGTACAGCTTTCTGGCTGCGGTCAGTCAAATAACAGAACCATGAAAAATAGTAATATATTACTGACTGTATCACAAATTAACTCAAAGATTATGTGACTATAGCAATTACTTCTTTGACCCCAAGATTCTTTCTCTTAAGAAATTGTAATTACTAATGCATATTGATTCTATGTATTAATAAATTTAACTATAAGGCCTTATTTCTTTGCTGTAAAATAATAAGAGGAAACACTATCTTTTTTTTTTTCTTTTGCCAGTCCTGGGGCTTGAACTCAGGGCCTGGGTACTGTCCTAAGCTTCTTTTTGTTCAAGGCTAGCACTCTACCACTTAAGCAAGCCACGGTGCTACTTCTGACTTTTTCTGTTTATGTAGTACTGAGGAATCAAACCCAGGGCTTCATGCTAGGCAAGCACTCTACCACTAAGCCACATTTCCAGCCCCCAGGCTGGAAATATCTTTCAGTATAGTATAACAATTAGGATAGCACACCGGAATGCCTACCACCAAAACAGTTTCTACACTGTGCTCCCAAATTCCTCCTAAATTCATCCCAACATCTTTTTGTTAACAACTTCCATTAATTCTATCTCAAAAAACTAGGGACTGGGAAGATGGCTCAATGGCAGAGTGCTTACCTTGCATACACGAGACCGTGGGTTCAATTCCTCACCAACACATAAGCAGAAAAAGCTGGAAGTGGTACAATGGCTCACGTGGTACAGTGCTAGCCTTGAGCTGAAAAGCTGAGGGACAGAAGCCACCACCAAAACAAAACAAAACAAAACAAAAAAACTACCTACTGCCTACTTTTTTAGGTGAAGTCCTTCCCAACTCTTTTTTTGATCCTTTTCCCTAGTCTCTCTCAAATCCATCTTCTGTTTCTACAATATTTTTTTCTGCACTACAGAGCTGATAATGCCACTCTTATTTGATTTTCACAATTGAGTGGGTTCAGCTTTATCTCTCATTACTATTACCAGTTCAAGTCATGCTTCCCTTCAGGGTATACACTCAACAACAGATGTTTCTTCAACTTCTACTCATGGCAGGAGCAGGGAATTTCTATTCATCTTTTTGTTTTTGATCGGTCATGGGGCATAAACTCTGGGCCTGAGCGCTGTCCCTCAGCTCTTCAGGTCAAGGCTAGCACTCTACCATTTGAGCCACAGCACACTTCCTGATTGGTGCTGAGGAATTGAACCCAGGGCCTCATGCATGCAAGGCAAGCACTCTACCACTGAGCCACCTTACCAGCCCTGTAATCATCTTTTAAGGTCCCATTTTCCATGAGAAATTACTTTTCTTTTGCCTTCCTACAACACTTCTTGTATACCACTTACCACCATTATTTCTATGTGCACTAATCTCAGCTTAAAATAGCACCGCTCAACCGTTTATAACATGTTGGCCTGTACACTCCTGGTGACAACTACTCTTCCTGGCACAAGGCAAGTACTGTTCCCTCATACAGGCTTTTCAGTATCATTTTTTTTTTTTTTGGGTCCGGTCGTGGGGCCTGAACTCTGGGCCTGGGCGCTGTCCCTCAGCTCTTCAGCTCAAGGCTAGCGCTCTACCACTTGAGCCACAGCGCCACTTCCGGCTTTTTTCTTTTTGCTTATGTGGTGCTAAGGAATTGAATCCAGGGCCTCGAGCATGCAAGGCAAGCGCTCTACCACTGAGTCACCTTCCCAGCCCCTTCAGTATCATTTTTAAAACCCAGAGCCCATTCTATTCATGTTTAGAGATGAACAGGGTGGAATAACAATGTTGTAGCTGTTGAAAGGTTAGTAATAGGTAGAAAACCTGTTAAGGGAGTTAAGAGATGTCATAGACGGAACAGAATAAAACTGTTTAAGAAGTGTGATTGTAGCAGGTTATAAAATTAACCCCCCAAAATCAATGGCTTTTCTGTATGCCAACAATGAGAAAAGTGTGGCTGAAATTAGGAAAGCAACTCCATTTGTAATAGCCCCACAAAAAATAAAATACCTAGGAATTGACTTAACTAAAGAAGTGAAGGACCTCTATGATGAAAACTTTAAAATCTTGAAAAAGGAAATCAACACAGAACTTAAAAAATGGCAAAACCTCCCATGCTCCTGGATTGGAAAGATTAACATCGTGAAAATGGCAATACTTCCCAAGGCTATCTACAAATTCAACGCAATACCTATCCAAATTCCAACCTCATTCTTCAAGGAAATATAAGAGGCAATCCAAAAATTCATATGGAACAATAAAAGACCCCGAATAGCAAAAACGCTCCTGAATGGAAAGAACACTGCTGGAGGAATATCAATACCAAACTTCAAACTCTACTATAAAGCCATAGTAATCAAAACAGCTTGGTATTGGCATAAGAACAGACCTCAGGACCAATGGAATAGAATTGAAAACCCAGAAATGAACCTACAGACCTATAGCCATCTAATCTTCGATAAGGGAGCTAAAACAATAGAATGGAAGAAAGACAACCTCTTCAGTAAATGGTGCTGGCAAAATTGGTTAACCACATGTAGAAAACTTAAGCTAGATCCTTATATATCACCGTGCACCAGAATCAACTCCAAATGGATCAAAGACCTTGAAGTCAAAGCAGACACTCTGAAAACATTACAGGATGGAATAGGAGAAACCCTAGGTCTCCTTGGCTCAGGCCGAAATTTTCTGAATAGAGACCCGGAAACACAACAAATCAAAGAAAGGTTGGACAAATGGGATTGCATAAACTTGCAGAGCTTCTGCAGGGCAAATGACATAGCTAGCAAGATCAATAGAAAGCCCATGGATTGGGAGAAGATCTTTACTAGCCATACAATGGACAAGGGTCTCATATCTAAAATATACTTGGAACTCAAAAAATTAAACCCCCCAACAACAAATCCTCAAAGAAACAACTGCCCAATAAATAAGTGGGCGAAAGACTTAAAGAGAAACTTCTCTGAAGAAGAAAGAAGGATGGCCAATAGACACATGAAGAAATGTTCAACATCCCTAGCCATAAAAGAAATGCAAATCAAAACAACATTGAGATATCACCTCACTCCAGTTAGAACGGCAAAAATCAAGAACTCTAACAACAACAGATGCTGGAGGGGATGTGGACAGAAAGGAACCTTACTTCATTGTTGGTGGGAATGTAAACTTGTTCAACCACTTTGGAAAGCAGTATGGAGGTTCCTCAAAAGACTTCACATAGAGCTCCCCTATGACCCAGCAATCCCACTTTTGGGCATTTACCCTAATGTTTACAAACAAGACCACACTAAAGCTACCAGCACAACTATGTTTATTGCAGCATTATTTACCATAGCTAAGATATGGAACCAACCCAGATGCCCCTCAGTAGATGAATGGATCAAGAAAATGTGGTATATATACACAATGGAATTCTATGCCTCCATCAGAAAGAATGACATTGCCCCATTTGTTAGGAAATGGAAAAACTTGGAAAAAATTATATTAAGTGAAGTAAGCCAGGCCCAAAGAAACGTAGGTCCCATGATTTCCCTTATTTGTAATATCTAGTATATGTATGAGTCAAGCGGAAAAGGTCAGATAATGTGATGTCAGGAAAATGAACCCTTAGATGTGTATTTTAATGTTTTTTTTCTTTCATGCATGTGTTTCTAACACATTTATAAGATTATCTCTTTGTTGCTTTGTATGTCCCTCCCCCACAGTATAACCCCTGCTTTCACTATATTTGATGTCAGTATAACTTGTGGAGGAGATGGGGAAAAACCAGTTGTTTAAGGATACAGGTGGACCTGTTGCAACAATAAGAAGTACAAGTTGTCATGTCCAAAACGAGCTTTACAACGTTGGTGCGGGGGGGGGGGGGGGGGGGGGGGGGGGGGAAGGGGGGGAGGGGGGGAAGGAGGATTGGGA